AGGAGCCTCAATATATATAAAGTGGCTTGTTTACACCCTTGGTGATAGTAAATATCAATCTTTGGGTATTAGATATGCAAATAGAGAATTTTGTGGTATCCCCTAAGGAATTTTACGTTATCCATCCATGACCTTAATTAAGGTTATAATTGCCGAACCATTTTTTTTGGATCACGCTGATACACACTAGTCGGGCTGGCCATTATTCGACTCCGCACGTAGCTGGTACACGCAGTCTCCTCTGTCTCTCCGTGTCTGCGTCTTCTCTCTCTCTCTCTCTCTCTCTCTCTCTCTCTCTCTCTCTCGTTTTCTCCCGAAATTAGTAGGAGAAGAAGCGCAGGGGTGGAATTGGAAGCGAATATTTGTAAGATAGACTTTCTTTTATAACTTCTTTCGTTTTGATGATATAATTTATTTGGACGAAGATTGCAACCCTAGCTTTTTCTTTATGTTTCGTTATTCCTTTTTCCTTTTTTTCTTTTGTTGTATTGCCCAATTAAAACCAAGAAACTCTACTTCTCGGCACTTCACGCTTTGTTTCGTCAAAAAGGGTTTTTTCTTCATAACAATGTTAATTTTCCAGGCTGAAATGCCATACTCTTTTTCTGGATTCTGTTAACCTTTTTGTAAAAATATGTGGAATTTCTGCTTCTGAGACGACATAGTGGAGGTGGGCTTCGTACTGGAGGAGATGGATGCGGATTCTCCTTCTGGAAGGCAACTTGAGAAGGATGTGTCGTCAATCTCTGCTCAGGACTCGAGCAGTGGAATGAGTATGCTCGAACCTGATCAAATGGTGGATATTAATTTACATGATGTCGAGGAAATCAAAGGTGAGAATCTGAACTTAATAGGCGTAGAGGATAACAAGGGGAAGATACAGAATGTTGAAGAGGATGGAGTTCCTACAGTGGGAATGGTCTTCAAAACCTTCGAAGAAGTGTATGATTTCTATAACCAATATGCTCGGCGTGTCGGCTTCGGTACAAAGATAAGGAGGTCATGGTACAGTCTCGATGACGGGCAATGCAACAAGTTCATGCTTACTTGTTGCAAGGAGGGCAAGAGAGAGTACAAGAACTCGGAACGCTGCAGCTCATACAGATTGAGGCTGGCTGCTCGAACTGATTGTCAAGCAAGGATTAAAGTTTTTAAGAAATATTCCGATGGTTTGTTTCACTTAACAGAAGTTAATCTCGAACATAATCATCCTGTTAATCCATCAATGTCTAGATTCTTTCGTTCTCACAAGGACTTAAATGATGGTGCGAAGAAGCTGCCTGTTATGCGAGGGAAAGGGCATAGGGATACACCATTGGGGGAGAAGGAAGAAGAGCGTTCCTCAGCAAAAACTCGGTCTTTTTTCCTTGGGAAGGATGATCTCGAAGCTCTTCATCAATTTCTTGCTCGAATGCAGACCAGCGGCACGAACTTCTTCCATTTGATGGATTTAGATGAGGGCGGCTATCTAAAGAACGTATTTTGGGCTGAAGGGAGGTGTAAGGCAGCGTATCAGTACTTTGGTGATGTTGTGACCTTTGACACTACCTATCTTACAGGTAATTATGAGACACCTTTGGTTTCATTTGTTGGGGTAAACCATCATGGTCATTTAGTGTTGTTCGGTTGTGGTTTGATTTCGGATCGAAGTGTTGAATCCTATAGGTGGCTGTTTAAATCATGGTTATCATGCATGTCTGGAAGCTATGCGAGCGCCATAATAACTGATAATTTCAAGGCCATACAGGAAGCAGTTGCTGAGATCTTTCCGGGCTCCCGTCATCGTCTTTGTTTATTGAGTATAATGAAGCAAATTCAGGAGAATTTGGGAGCATACCCTGAATACAAATCCATCAAGGGAATGATGAAAAAAGTTGTTTGTGACTCATTAAGGGTTGGAGATTTTGAAGAAGAGTGGAAGATTATGATTGAGAAGTATGCCCTCGAAGATAATGATTGGCTGAGGTCTTTGTATGAAATTAGACATTCGTGGGTGCCTGTTTTTGTAAAAGAAACTTTTTGGGCGGGAATGTCAAGCACTCAACATAAGGAAAATAAGAATTCATATTTTGATGGATATATTTATCCGAAGACATCATTAAAGCAGTTCCTTTGCAAGTATGAGTCAACTTTAAAATGTAAATTTGAAAAAGAAGCTCAGGCAGATCGTGATTCTTTCCATAAAAGCCCACAACTAATATCAAAATTTTATATGGAGGATCAATTACGTAAGCTTTACACGGTTGATATGTTCAAAAAGTTCCAAGAAGAGGTTAAGGCCATATTATACTGTATTCCTTCACTGGTTAGGGTGGATGGCCCAGTGTCAATCTTTGAGGTTAAAGAACCTTTGAGAATGAAGGATGGAAATCAGATGGAGAACAAGAACTATGAAGTTACGTACTCCTCAAACGAGCTAGAGGTGAGATGCATCTGCTGCTCATTCCAGATGATCGGCATATTATGTAGGCATACATTATCAGTTCTTAACTTTCTCGAGATCTATGAAATCCCACCTCATTTTATTGTTGAGCGGTGGCGAAAGGACTATAAGAACATTCATGTTCTGCCCTGCTTTTCAAATGATCTTGGAGCTAAAGGGCCTGCAGAACGTTATGGTAATTTGTACAAGCATTGCTTAAAATTTATGGAGTTAGGGGCTAGTTCTGATGGACTCTATGAATATGCTCTTAAAATAATAAGCGAGGCCACAAATGAACTTTTTGCTAGCGATCCAATTTCCAGTGACGTACAACTGAGAGCATGCAATCCTTTCAATGATAAACGAATTATTGGGAATGAGAATGATGAGATCTATGATCTTTCAGAATTGAGCCAGAGAAGTCAGCCATTGAAAAAGAGAAAAGAGTTGGCAGAAAAAACAATTAAAAACAGCAAGAAGAAGGTATTCTAGCTTGCTTTGCTTACTATTCTTTGTGTTTAATATAGAGTTAAGTGCCCAATTAGTCCCATGACAATTTACAGGTTGCATTTCAGTCCAGAGTCTATTAAAGTGCGACATTAGCCCTCTTTCACTTTTACTGTTGGCTGAAATGATCCATAGGGTGGACTATTTTATCCCCCATTAAAAAAACTTGGGGACTAATTTGATATTTTTATAGTCGGGGTCTAAAATAAGCCTCCAAAAAGAGTTAGGTGACCATTTTGACATATTTCTGGTTTAATTTATCTCCCCACACTCTGAAGCATGTAACCTTATGGACATAATCATTATCTTAAAAGGTTCCGCCAAGAAAGCCAGTGGTTGCTTGTCAGAATGATTTGGTTCGTATGGCTCCAGATACCCCTCAATTTGATCCACATATCTGGACACATGACAGTATCACCCTAACGGTTTAGTATATCTGTTGCTTTAGTTGATTCATTTTCTTTCTTTCTTTGAATGTTCTATTGATGAGGCACAACCTACCATTGCAGGACCAAGTTAGCCCACCTAACTTGTCAATTGGGAATCATTTTGGAGTACAGATGAGTCAACAACATGTGCTTGACAGTCAAGCAAGCATACGTTGGAGTTTTCAGCATATGTTCCAAGTATGCATGCTACATTGCTTATTAGCTCTAAGTCTATGTGCATTAGTTCTTATCATTTTAAATCTCCAATTACTGTGAATTGGTTGATGTTATTTTGCAGCAACCTCACACGCCAGATGGACCTCCTGGCCCCTGGTCCGGTTAGGAGCCAGCATCAAATTGTGAGAACTGGACCAGGTATAGCTGGAATAGTATGCATATCGTGTTTGTTTATCATATTTTTGCTTGTTTTGAATTCTGCAGATTATGACTGACTGCATTGGTTTGTGATTTAAGACACTTTCTGTCACACCCGAGCTAAACCTCCTAGGGTCAATTAGTGATGCAATAGAGATGGACGACTCAATTAAACACAATACTTACCTAACATGGATGCTTTTCTGTTTTATGGATATGAATGGATTTTGAATTGATTAGGCATGTAAATGATGAGAATTGAGCCGAACTGAGTTGTTTACCTCTACTACTAATCAGCGAGCAAACCATAATTAAACGACAAGAGAGAGATGAGAATACTCAAACAAGGGCTGCTATTATCAAAAACAAATGCAAATAAGCAATATACAACAATGAACTACTTTTTGAGAGGTGGATCGACTCTCCCACATCACTAGACGTTGCTAGGAACACAACCAAAAGAAGAAAAACCAGCAGCCAACAAAAACATACATCCCCCTTTACCCTAGACGTAACAAGCCTATTTATACCAAACAATAATAAAAATAAAAGACTAAATTGCCCTTAGGCATATAAAAGATAGATTTCCCATTAGACTAAGCGCCAACTTAACAATACTCCCTCCCTAAAAGGCACATTGTTGTAAGGGTGGGAAAAAATTAGGCTGCTTCCACCAGGCGTCATTATCTGACCATCTTTTCCATTTAAACAGGAATTCATATTGACCCATAGAGGTTAGAAATGTAGTCTTATGCATATCATTTGGCCGCCTCTGAATCAATTAGTGGTCTGTTTCCAATCAATCTTCAATCTCAGAAAATATCGCAGCCCCAAACAACTCATCTTGTGTCTTATCGATCACCAGAATCTCTGTCAACTCCGTCTCATGTCTCTTCCATCTATGTCAATTTCGATTCTGCTTGTTTTTTTTTATTCAAGCCATCTAAATGTCGTATTATTTCTTCAAAGTGCTGCCGCTCCATTCTGCTATGATACCACAGCTCTCGATCCGCTTAAAGTTGTGACACTGCCTTCATATTGTGTGAATCCTTTTGTTTATTGTTGTTGGAGTCCATTCTCAATATCATCTCTTGACATTGTGGCAGGCAGAGTCGGTTTTGTGTGAAACTCCATTATTTTCTTCATCATTCCTTGCATTTATCTTATGCTCTTAAATCAGTCCTCCATTCGGCTTTCTATGGAAGAAAACCTATTTTCTAGGGTGACAGACCTTTCTTCCATCCGAGATCTGAGTTGCCTCACATCTTTTTCTAATTTCTTCTCCAAATTCTCTATTTTCTTAGCTGCTATTCTTTCAAGAATTTTTTTTAATCACCAAAAGATGAAAGCACCTACACGCAGTTATAAGAATTGCGATTGTACCGCACGAGGCATGCAGCTATCCAACTGATCGACTCACAACAAGATTAAGCAGCAACTGAAATGTAAGTTGCGACCTCGTCCGCTCCCCTGCAGGCTCAACTTGCGCGGATCAAATCGCGATTAAGGCTTGTGAGTCTCTGTTCGTCATGATCCCCAAAACTTTCTGTTTGCGAGTTCTTGGATCACTGTACGTCGCAATCCTGAGGATGCTTCCTGGCTGTCTTTTTCGAAAGATGGGAGTGGCTATTACGTAATTCTAATAGTTATTATATGTGGCTATAATAGTTATTACGGATCCTAACATTACTGTATTGATCCTATTGAAAAGTATTCTATTTTTTTGTAATTGCCCGATGAAGGCCTATTTTGGATGTACAATGTAATTTCGATAGTAATTTCCCATTTCAGTTGGAAAATGCAGTTGGATGTTTGAGGTACTATAAGTGATCAAGGAGTAGTCACTCATATCACATGAGGTAACTTTGCACAGAGTTCCATTTTTATTAATGGATGGCTCTGAGATTTCTTATGGGTACAGACATCTCAGGTAATTTAGTCTTATGGTTCTTCATTATCTGCATATGATATTTTTGTTTAGGTGCTCATTTTGTCTCCACTTTCTGTTTAATGTTTCTATTAGTGGTCATGGTTATTGTGAAGAACTCATTTATCCATCGTTTGAGCTCATAAAAAATTAAAAGTTGCTCCTGCTATCCAGCCTAGAGCTTTGAGTATCGTACAAGGGCATCCTTTAGGAATAATTCATTATCCTTTGGGTGGAATTGCTACAGCATGGCCTTTCTCCTTAGCAAAATTTATTGTAGTAGGATAATGACTTAGGAGGATTTAAAAAACATTATGACATTAAGATTTCCAATGTTTAGCCAAGGCTTAGCTAAGGACCCCACTACCCGTCTAATTTGGTTTGGTTTTACTACCACACATGATTTCGAGAGTTATGATGATATTACTGATGAACGTTTTTATTAGAACATTTTTTATTCGCACTTTGGACAATTAGCAATAATCTTTTGTGTCCAAAAATCTGTTTCATGTAGCTTGTCAAGGAAATTTTTAGTCATGGATGCAATTTGGGGTCCTCATTTTGATCAACATGCCGCATAAACCTTTACTAGAGTAGTGTGGTCCTGAGCTAAATTGGCCAATTCGGAAGCTTATCATTTGGGTTATATTTTTCATAAATCCTTAGTTTCTTTCTGAAAGGTTTCTAATCAACCAGAATCGAGGTTAGAGAGGGTCTTTTTCCTCGTCGTGACCTTTATATGGAAATCAAGAGTCAGGGAACCATTTCCTTGACCTATACTGATGAGTATTTGACTCCACTCGAAATTGAACAAAAAGTTGCCAATTTAGCCTATTTATTGAGCGTACCCATTGAAGAATTTTGAAATGAACTGAGTAATAAATCTCAGCATGAGAGAAGGAACTTAATACATTTCAAAAGTGAGAAGATGTATATGGAATAATAACTATTTTGTATACGCATACACATGATGTTTGACTTCACTCTTTATACTAGTAAAAGCTCTAATAAGTATAGATTCATCAAATATTTTGTCATGTTGTTTGTCTTCATAAACATATTTCCTCTTTTAGGCCTTTGAATTGACACCGTATCCTTGCGTTGCGGTTAGACAGTGAAATCTTTCAAATTCAAAATGTAAATAAAAGAGTTAAAAAATATGGTAGGGTTCGTCTTTAAATCTAAATTATATTTGTTAGTTCAAATGGGTTTTCAAGTCTTCATCTAAAGTAATTAATGAAGGGATAAATCAGTTACAATTTTCCTAATTGTGATCGCTGGAATATTGAAAGAATATTTACTTCTTTTTCATTCAAAAAGAGCCTTTCTTGAATGTTCTGTTCTAGATCCAAAAAAATGATTCTTACAAAAAAAAAAGGAACATATTCATAGGTTTGATACCATATTCTTGTTAGAGTTATGGACTCTTGTCATGTAATTCGTACTTCAAGAAATCTCAGATAAAATCGACCAATAAAACAAGTTCATTTACAATTCACATCACAGATACAAAATAAAAAAAAGGAAGCATTGGCTTCCCTCCCATATCTTGTGTCTATTATCTTTTTGTCTTGGTGGGTTTCTCTCTCGTTTAAGAAATGCCTAGAAATTTGGGTTATTAACTGGTTGAAAACTGGACAATTCTCCCATATCTTGTGTTACTCATAAATCCCATTTATGAGTAACATCATATGATCATACCAGAATCATGAAAGAATCTTTTCATGCATGAAAATGCTCTATAAGATCCTTATAATAAGTGATGTGGAATAATCCAATGTTTTTTTAATTCTTTTTGTTTGATTTTTTTTATCCAATGTTTTTTTATTCTTTTTGTTTGATTTTTCTTTTTTCTTTATTATTTTTTCTTAGAATTAATTTGAGAGCATATTGGATAGTAATCTTAGTAAGTTTTAATATTATGTAGATGCATTTATTTCCTCAGCATCAACCCTGATCTATGATACTATTAGAGTTAAATAAGGGATCTAAGGAAGAACGGAGCTAAGATTTTATTAGTAACAACTAAATTTTTTTTATTTTTATATGTAATACAATTAAGATATTGTGGGGATAAATATTAACCAAAAGGCATGAGACAATCTAAAAACACTTGATCATGATCTAATTTGTAAGTCGACTTGGATATTGAGCATTTTCTTATTGTCAGAACTGAATCCTTGAAATTTGGGGAAATGTAATTTTATATATCTTTTCTTACATACAATCATTCTACATTTTCTATGTAGATATGTATAAATTATAGATCTTCTATATACCTATTTATGTTCTATGAATCTATTTTTGTGATTCTTTTGATTCTTGCTTGAGCTGGATGATCATAAATCATCATGTCCGGTTCCTTTGGGGGATGGGTCCACAAGAATTCACCTATCCAAATAACAATGAAACCTGATTTGAATGATCTTGTATTAAGAGCTAAATTGGCTAAAGTGGTGGGACATAATTATTATGGAGAACCTTCATGGCTCAATGATCTGTTATATATTTTTCCAGTAGTAATTCTAGGCACTACTCCATGTAATGTGGTCTTAGCAGTTCTAGAGCCGTCAATGATTAGTGAACCGACGGATCTGTTTGCAACTCCGTTGGAAATATTACCCGAATGGTACTTCTTTCCCGTATTTCAAATACTTTGCACAGTACTCGATAAGTTATTGAGTGTTCTTTTAATGGTTTCAGTATCAATAAGATTATTGACATACTTTTTTCGGAGAATGTCAATAAATTCCAAAATCCCTTATTTCAAATACTTTACACAATACTCAATAATTTATTGGGTTTTCTTTTAATGGTTTTAGTACCAATAACATTATTGACAGCTTTTTCTTGGAGAATATCAATTAAGTCTAAAATCCATTTCGTCGTTCAGTAGCCACAACAGTCTTTTTGATCGGTACAACAGTAGCTCTTTGGTTAAGGATTTGAGCAATTTTACTTATTGATAAATCCTTAACTTTAGGTCTTTTTCAAATTGATTGAACCGTTAAATACTACGACATAGATATCCAAGGAAGATCCTTGTTGACCTCGCTTTCAGTCGAGGTGTAGT